TTGAGGTTGTTTATTAGTGATCTCCCTTGTTTCTAGCGGAATGGCTGGAGTCATCGTTACAGTGAGCGGTTCGCAACGTACCTAGTGAAAAGTCAACGCCAGTAAAGTGGGAAAAAGTATTAGTTTTATGAATAACACTACATACACCAACGAAGGAGTGCTGACGTGGACAGCGTATGGAGTTGGTTCCGGTAAATTTTTACCCTGGAGAACTTTCTGTTAACTAAGCAGAAGCTCTCTTCGTCAGCTAATCAAGAATACAGATAATGCCATTTCCAACGTTTCTTTTCAAACCGTCAAAGCTAGACGAAGCGCGAAAAAAAAAATAAAAAATGAAAAATAAAAAGACAACAGAATTAGCAAAGGCCTCAGCAGGAGAGAATGACAGTGACGACGAAACCTGTGAAAAAGAAAGTGGGCTATTATATTGTCCAGAGGTGGGGTGCATCAAGTCCATCCAGCATTTCTCGTCCTTAGGAAAACACCTGTGACTGTATGCCCTGGAACAAGAAACGCTGTACGACAAGGCAAAGACGCAGCTAAACTGGAGCATAGCGGTGATGCCGTTCTGTAAATGAAGACGTAGATGTATCGTTAGGGAATGAAAGTCCAGCGCAACTGATGTGATGGGCTCTGAAGTCAGCGATAGTAACAGAGAGAACCTCACCGATGCTCAGAAAGACTTTCTTAATGAAGTATTTCAAGAGAGAGAACACACCAGCAAAAAGGCTGATCCTTCTATTATTTCAAAGGCAATGCGAAGAGCTAAGCTCAGCAATGGCTCCAATATCTTTCAAAAGATAGTAGGATTATTTTTTTGCTCAACAGCGAAAATTTAACTTTCAGCACTCGCGGTGAAGATTTTGAAGAACGTGAGGCAAACGGAGAGAGAGACATCCAAGAGCTTACTGATCGAGGAACTGATTAAAACTTTTGCTCTTCAGCATCCAATCATGTTTGACAAATACAACATCTGTGAAACCAAGTGCCACGCTTAGCCGTCGAAGTTTCCCATATAGGGATGCCCCGAAAGATTTGTACCGCGCTTGAGCTGGACGTATCTTCCATAACAAGTAAGCGCAAGCAACCCTATAGATATATATAAGAATTAGTTGACAAGTGTGGTTGAAAAAGCAT